CCACAGCACCCAGCTATTTTTTGGTTGCAGCCATTACTGTTGTTTGGCGAGCCCGAGCTGGATTCGAACCCGCCACCTTAGGTGTATATGGCTGGCGCCTTAGCCGCTTGAGCCACAGGCGCCGAGCCCAAGTAGACATTTTACTGTTAAAACCCACCAAGAAGCGAATCTCGCTGAGGACGTCATCCATCAGCTCCACTAGTTACACAGGCAGTTGTGTGTCTTAGCACACCAACCACACAGGGCTCATTCTCAGCACAGCTGCGTTATAACAAAAAGAAAAAAAGAAAGAAAAGGGCAGTGCCTGTGGCTCAGTGGGTAGGACACCAGTCCCATATACCGAGGGTGGTGGGTTCAAACCCAGCCCCGGCCAAACTGTGACAAAAAAATAGTCAGGCGGTCTATGGTCCCAGCTACTCAGGGCAAGAGAATCGCCTAAGCTCAGGAGTTGGAGGTTGCTGTGAGCAGTGTGATGCCATAGCACTCTACTTAGGGCGATAGAGTGAAACTCCTGTCTCTACAAAGAAAAAGAAAAGAAAATCAAACCTTTTTTGTAGTTCACCTGAATTTTTTTTGCCTGAAAGCCTTCTAAACTGTGTTGTCTTTTAGGACTTGATAAGATGATGGTGGACAAGGACGGCGATGTGACTGTAACTAATGATGGGGCCACCATTTTAAGCATGATGGATGTTGATCATCAGATTGCCAAGCTGATGGTTGAACTGTCCAAATCACAAGATGACGAAATAGGCGATGGAACCACAGGAGTGGTTGGTAAGCACAGACACAATATCCTTTCTCATTTAAGAGTTGTTGCTTAAGATCACAGGGCTCGCATGGCTGGGGACAGTGTTGACTATGAATCAGCATTAGGAGCAGACAAACCGAAACTTGTAGAACATGCTGCAAGACAAGGCATGCTCCAAACTTCTAAAAACTGACAGAAAGGAGGCTGGGGGTAATTAGTCAATGAGAAATGACAACCGACTGTGTGGCATGTAACAATAAATTGGATGCTAACTTGGTTTTGTTTGTTTTTTAAGGTATAAGGATGTTTGGGACAAGGGGAAGAATTTGATTATGGATTATGTATGACATTGTAGAGTCAATGTTGAGTTTTTTGGGTGTGATAATTAAACTACATTGCAGACACGTATTCTCAGCTGTATGTAAATACTTGAGGGTGATAGGTCATGATTGCTACAACTAATTCTCAAATAGAAGAGAATGCACATGTAGAGAAAACATGACAAAATGTTCAGCAGCAAACTGGTGCTCATTATATACTGCTCTTGCACTTTTTTTTGAAAGCTTGAAATGTTTAAGATAAAAAGCTGATCTTTAGGGTTATCATTTCTGCAGATGAAATTTCAGTTTGATTCAACAGATATTTGTTCAGTATCATCTTGTACCAAGCACTGTTCTTGATGTGCTTAGAGAGCCACAGATTTAAAACAAACCTCATCTTTGTGGCAATAAAATAAGGGGAAGGGAAGATGTGGGGAGTAAATTTTGAAATCATCTTACCACTAAGATGAATTTCACTGACTAGAATTCCCTAGACCAGGAAAATATAATGGACTTTTTCCATTTTAAAAAAAATACTCTTCTTACATTGCATTCTTTAGTTACATTTTTCACTTCACTGCAAGTTGAATGTCGCTGTCTATAAAAGGAAACCTAATAGACCTCTCTTAGAACAAAAGCGGGAGGCTCCCTTTTTAAAATACGCACCTCTGCTTCTAAGATTACATCTAGCTTAATTCTGGAACCTTCTGCCCAAGGTAGCATCACATTTGCATTGATGATACTGAAAGTAAAGTTTCAGCATTTTCCTAAGCTGGTGGTCTGTTGGCTTGTTTGCAGTCCTGGCTGGTGCCTTGTTGGAAGAAGCTGAGCAGTTGCTAGACCGAGGCATTCACCCAATCAGAATAGCGGACGGCTATGAGCAGGCTGCCCGCATTGCTATTGAGCACCTGGACAAGATCAGCGATAGTGTCCTTGTTGACGTGAAGGACACTGAACCACTGATTCAGACTGCAAAAACCACGCTGGGCTCCAAAGTGTACGTTTTGCTAGAAGATGCAATGAAGCATTTGTAGAGAAGACAGTTTGTTTGCCTAAAGTGGTTTCATATTGATTTCATGAGTTTCTGTTATTTTGGTTTGCTTTGGTTTTAGTATAGTTGTAAATACATGCATCTTATATTTTAGTTGAGAGCTGAATTTCCGGGTTTGTATGTTAAATTCCCTTGATAATATTTGTAAAATATATAATTAGTTTAGTAGGATCAGCTACATAAATAATCAACTAGATGGAATCTTATGTGCAAATTTTTATGACTCTTCTTTTGACCATTTTGTTGCAAGGGGGGTCCACTTTTCATTCAGCAGCGAAATTACTGATCTAAAATTTTAATGTAGTAAGGAGGAGTGGTCTTGAATTTCACTTATATTGGGTGTTTTCAACACTTGCATGTTACCTACTATTTGCCAGGCATACTGCCAAGTCTTAAGGGCACAAAGACCCAGTTCCTGCCTCCTAGTGCCTCTGAGTAACCTCAGCCAAGGGGCACACTCATTTTGAACAGTAATAAAAGACTATGGTCTGTTGCTGTAATGTAGCATAGGTGCTTTGTCACACAATATTTTTAAGTTGGTATCAGTGTGAGAGGTGTTTTCATTTGTGTGCCCGTAGCAGTGCTAGGGGAGATGCACAGAACTGTCTGGGTTGCCTTCTCCCCTGCTGGGAGACAGCCACAGCCGCCTGTGTCAGAGCAGAGGCCTTCGGTGAGGCCGGCTGCCTTGAGTTACAGATCTTAGCTGAGACTGACTCACTGGCACTCTGGGTAGAGTGCCATGGCATCAGAGCAACCTCAAACTCTTGAGCTAGCTGATGGCTCTTGCCTCCTGAGTGCAGGCACTGACCACACCCAACTAATTTTTATTATTTTTAGTAGAGACGGGGTCTCACTCTTGCTCAGACTGTTCTGGAACTCCTGAGCTCAAGCAATCCACCCACCTAGGCCTCCCAGAGTGCTAGGATTACAGTTGTGAGCCACCACACCTGACCAAAATGTACAAATTTTATTTTATTGTTGCTTTATAAGTTGGCCCTTTTCTATTTCCAGGTCTTTATAAAACCTAAGTATGTATTGGTCTTTACTACAGAAAATGTTCAAATCAATTGAAAATGGCCAGATGCATTCAGTATAAAGCAAAACCTTGTAAGTCATCTAGTTGAGATACTAACAAAATTTTTAGTTTCAAAGTTTTGTTTTCTAGATGACTTAAGACTTCAGACACTGTATTTCAAGTGCTACATTTCCCCCATGGTTTTATTGACTCAAAAGTAAATTCATTAAGCAATCTATTCAAATGTTTCAAAGCTTCCCAAAAAGATAACATTCCCCTCTCTATAACTGTATTTTGGTGGGTTTTTTTTTTTTAAGACAGTCTCACTCTGGCACCCTCAGTAAAGTGCCATGGCGTCATAACTCACAGCAACCTCAGGCTTTTGGGCTCAAGCTATTATCTAGCAGAGACAGGGTCTTATTCTTGCTCAGGCTGGTCTGGAACTCCTGAGCTCAAGCAATCAATCTGCCTTGGCCTCCCAGAGCACTAGGATTACAGGTGAGAGCCACCATGCCTGGCCTTGGTGGGAATTCTTAAAAGGTCGTATTCCTTACTTCCCTTAAGTGCTACTCCTCATTGAGATAGGGTCTGCTTTTCTTGGGTGATTATCTTTTCCATTTTATTCTGAATGTGTAAAATACAATAGTAACAGCATTCTTTTTTCTTTTTTCTTTTTTTTTTTTTTGTTGAGACAGAGTCTCACTTTATCACCTTCTGTAGAGAGCAGTGGAGTCATAGCTCACAGCAACCTCCAGCTCTTAGGCTTAGGTGATTCTCTTGCCTCAGCCTCCTGAGTAGCTGGAACCCCAGGCATCTGCCACAACACCCAGCTGTTTTATGTTGCAATTTAGCCAGGGTCAGATTCAGACCCGCCACCTTAGGTGTATGTGGCTGTGGCTGGTGCTTTAGCCACTTGAGCCCCAGGCGCCGAGCCTTTTTTTTTTAGAGTAACAGTATTCTTAAAAAGTAATGCAATCTTAGAAAAGTCTTAGCTCTTGCCATGCTGCTGTGGTCTCTTATTATATTCATAATGGATGAAAATAGTAAATTTCAGTTAGAAAGCATAAAAATAAAATGTAATTTTTCCTAAGTTTGTGATCATCTTCACAAGTTAAGAATCCCTGACTCAGTGCCTGTAGCCCAAACAGCTAAGATAAATAATCAACTAGATGGAATCTTATGTGCAAATTTTTATGACTCTTCTTTTGACCATTTTGTTGCAAGGGGGGTCCACTTTTCATTCAGCAGCGAAATTACTGATCTAAAATTTTAATGTAGTAAGGAGGAGTGGTCTTGAATTTCACTTATATTGGGTGTTTTCAACACTTGCATGTTACCTACTATTTGCCAGGCATACTGCCAAGTCTTAAGGGCACAAAGACCCAGTTCCTGCCTCCTAGTGCCTCTGAGTAACCTCAGCCAAGGGGCACACTCATTTTGAACAGTAATAAAAGACTATGGTCTGTTGCTCTGTGTTGTCTTTTAGGACTTGATAAGATGATGGTGGACAAGGACGGCGATGTGACTGTAACTAATGATGGGGCCACCATTTTAAGCATGATGGATGTTGATCATCAGATTGCCAAGCTGATGGTTGAACTGTCCAAATCACAAGATGACGAAATAGGCGATGGAACCACAGGAGTGGTTGTCCTGGCTGGTGCCTTGTTGGAAGAAGCTGAGCAGTTGCTAGACCGAGGCATTCACCCAATCAGAATAGCAGACGGCTATGAGCAGGCTGCCCGCATTGCTATTGAGCACCTGGACAAGATCAGCGATAGTGTCCTTGTTGACGTGAAGGACACTGAACCCCTGATTCAGACTGCAAAAACCACGCTGGGCTCCAAAGTGGTCAACAGCTGTCACCGACAAATGGCCGAGATTGCTGTGAATGCTGTCCTCACTGTGGCAGATATGAAGCGGAGAGACGTCGACTTTGAGCTCA